ACACTGCTATAAAAACTTTAAACAGTCTTCAGCCTGACAGCTCCATTGTACAAAGATGTCTGATTGCATCTGTGTGGGAACTGCCTAGTGAACTCACAGGGAGCTAGTGGTTTCATGTGTGTTGCCTCCTGCGACCTCCTGCGAAGGCTACCCAGGCAGCTTTGTTTACAACAATGGGGGCGATCGTGGCTCAAGAGTTGGGAGTTTGCCTTGTAGTCGGAAGGTTGCCGGTTCGAGCCCCGGCTTGGACAGTCTCTGTCGTGTGTCCTTGGGCACAAGGACGGTGGTCAGAGGCCCCGGTGGCGCCACTGTCCGGCAGCTTCGCCTCTGTCAGTACAGCCCAGGGTGGCTGTGGCTACAATGTAGCTTGCCATCACCAGTGTGTGAATGGGTGGATGACTGGTTTTGTAAAGCGCTTTTGGGGTCCTTAGGGACTAGTAAAGCACTATACAAATACATACAATTTGTAAGGTAGTTGAAGTACATTGCTACGACGTTAATAAACAGTGACCTCATCATTTTCCCTTTAGTTAACAAATAAATATTGGAAATTTGTATCAGTCATCGTTTTTTTGTAGCTTGCTACCTTTGGATTTGGACTTTGCTATCTTACACATATTGCCAATTTAAATAAAATAGTGTGACGTTAACCTGCTTTTACCATTGACCCGCCCATTTTATGAGCACTCTCTTATTTTGTAATTTAACAGCCAAAATCACAAAATAAGTAGTAAATTATAAAACATCTTTAATAAAGAGTTAAACATGGACAAAGAGGTATGTAAACCCGCCATCTATGTCTAGACTATCTAAAGACACATTTTCTGACTAATGGGTTTTGGAAGGTTGAAATCTTTTCAACACAGTTTTAGCACCAGATAATATTTTATTTTTAGTTTGCTTTATACTAATGTAACCCCAATCAATGAAACAGATGATGTTAATTTGGCATTCTTTTTTATAACGTCTAACAGCTGACAGTTTTGTTAATAAATAAGACAAATAAAAGACATTTAAAGTTGTAACACTGTATATGATGTTAGCACAATAAATATTATTAAACATTTCATCCGTCTTTGGCACTTCCAAATCCATATTTATAAAGTGTACCGTTGATGAGGTTTCCAAAACAGTTCCAATGGCCAAACTAAACAGGCCTTCAGACCAGTGAGCAATGTAGATGGGATGTTGTAATGGGACTGGCACACTGTGTTCTGTGTTACAGTCCAGTAATAAATCACTTTCTGGTGAAGGGGATTGAACAACTTTAAAGCACACAGGATTCACACGTGTATGCTTACACTAAAACGCTCGAAGAAGCTCTGAAAGAACGGGCTGCTATTGAAAGCGAAATTCTTTATGCTCTGGTTTCCACAGAACATTTAACATCATGTCAGGAAATTGTTTTAGCTGGTCCCAAGTCGAGAAAAAAATGTTTGTTTGTGCCCTGGAGGCTGCAGTTTGGGCTGAATCCCACAGAGACACTACTGGAAAGTAACTCCATGATTGAGTTTTCATAAAACTGCCTCAATGAGAAACAGGAGTGCAAACACCTAACGCTGTAACACCTATTGTATAACAGAGTCAGATCAACAGTGCGTCAGTGTGGATTTTATGTCATTATGGAGGTTTAAATTTTGTCTAAGCTGAGGTTGTGCTACTGTAGATGAGAGGGGTGAAAGGGCGTCTTCTCTTTGAAGCGCTCTGTCACAGTGACCTCTGCCCTCTGAATTTACAAGAGTCCCATAGATGCCCATTACTGCCTCATTTCTTTTCCAAATAAGATTGATGGCTCTGTTGTGGTTACTGTTTTACACGCATTTTCAAGATTATTGCGGACACGCACTGTGTGTGAATTTAATGAGACATGGTCTTCTCGTTTGATAGCCCTGAGCATTCAGATTCATTACGTGTTTGTAAATGTTGCATCAGTCGAGCCTCGTCTCCACTCATTAGTTCAGAAATACATTTCAAGAGGATGACCAGCATCGCAGTTTAGGGCAAATCCATGTTGAGCTTTTTCATTTCAAATCCAACCAGCACGAATGAGTTCAAACTTTTATTTTTGTGGTTTTGAAAAATGTGACTTTTATATTTAAGATCAACTATAGCTGCTAGTATGTGATTTTAATTGCATTTTTTTATGTATTCATTATGTGCAAATGAGTATTTGTTGTTTCTATTTCAGGTGTTTTTTGGTGGAGTTTTTTACTCGTATTACATCTAGAATTGGGTGATAAAATAACAAAAAAGGACATTTGTGTAGCTGAAAAGAAAAGATAACTAGAAACAATCATCTTTTATTTGGAATGACATAACAGTTGTGTTGAGGACGTTAAACAGGGACCTGTAATTCTTATTTCCAGCTCCACCTTTTTTTCTTCAATTATTCAGAATAATCTTGGCTATCTCATATTGGCCGTTTGTGAATTCCCTCAGCTCACTCTCTCCCTTTTAAGGCAACCCTCTCATAAAGCCAACTTTCTTCTAATTGGCCGCCTGTTGCAAACAGAAGGTTTAAACAGCAGGTGGGTGGGGCTTTGGTTGTTACATCCATAGCAGCATGTTTGAGATGACCTTATAAAGACTGAAGAGCAGAGTCTAGTGAGGATTTGGCTTGTGAGAATTACTTGTATATATGCTGACCTCGTTATTTGGAAACTTTGACTGCATATTATATAAATAGGTCACATAAAACGCACAGATAATCCAAGAATCTTAGTTTTGCAGTAAAAATCTTCCCTTTTCTGTTGCTAAACAAAAAAATTGCTTTATTGTTCTTGTGACCAATTGAGTGGTGGGAAACCTTGAAGCAAACAATGTTTATTTTTAGAACTAAATGGCATTTTGGTGATTTGATCCATCATTGCCAAAGACAGAAGTTATGCTTCAAGGTAAAGTACTTTTGTAAGTCAGATTTAACCTTTATATCTTTATACTTGACAGCTTTACAACATGAAGTTTTTAATTAGACTGTCAAAAATAATCATTGACATGCTACATGGAAAAGGGAAATGCACTTTAGAGGAGAAATAAGGTTGTTCTGTTCCAGTTTTAGAATTATTTCTGTTTGGTCTTTTGGTATTTTCACATCTATTTGTGGTTAGAGAGTTTTGATCAGAGGAGAAGGCGAATGTGTTTGGATCTGCTTGTGTGTGGGTGTGTGCATGTGAAATTACAAAAAAAGAAGAAAAAAATCCTGAGATATTTTCTTCTTAACACTGACCAGAGCAAATCCCAGAGAGTAACCCCAGCATGCTAATAATATAGCTCCCATCCATCACCACAGACAACAACCAATTAGTACATTCCTCTTCCCCCTTTTTCTCATGTTCTTGGCTAACCCCTCAATAATTCTGGATCATTCATCAAAAAACTGAAACACATTCAAGATGCTGTTTGTGTGCGTGCGTGAGGGTCTGTTTTTTGGTGCGTAAGGAATTAAAGGAATGTTTGTTGTGGATTGATTTTGTTTTTCTGGGGTTAAGTGACAGTGTCTGTAAACCATCTGAATAGGTTCGCACATATCAACAGGCTCACTCCTTTGTGGCTTTTTCACTATCTGAGTTTAAAAATGAGGTGGAATTATGTATACTGATATAAAAAGAGAAGTCAATACTTTATCTAGTAATCATGCAGTGTTATTCTGTATTATTTTAGCACTTTAGTAGTGAGATATGTGTACTGTGGAAGGGAGTCTCTGTGACTGGGGCAAGTAGTGATTAACCGAACTCAGGCTGAATAATTTTCTTTAAAACAAGAGACTTTGTATAAGAAATTAAAACTTCCACTAGTAAACACTAGTATTATCAGACCTATAATGATACTTTATTTAAGATAACTGCAGCTTACTAGAACATTTACTGGAAATCCCAGGGATAAGTAACCTCAAAATCAAATTCGTATAATTTTCCTCTGGCCGATTCTCCTGTGAATCAGCCAGGTGTGAGTTGCCCAGATTTGCAGACATCTTCTGTAGAGCAGGGCCATGAAGCCAAGTTGGAATCTGTGTTGACCTACTCATACCAATAACAAACAGATTTTTCCCAGGTCTCTGCTTTGGGGTATTAGTCTATCAGCCCTTGTCCTGTGGTTAGTTGTATTCTCTTCCTCGGGCCACCCATGGTGTTGTAACCTAGCCAGTAGTAGACTGAGGAGAGTAGGATCAGCCAATTTGACCCTTTACCACACTGGAGTACTCAGAAATCTGCTCTCACACTGTAACACACCTGTCTTTCTCACATTTATGATCACAGAAGGCACAATAAACATGCACGTTGTTTTATAAAGTTCGTTAACAGTTGTCTGTGTTAATCATCGCCAGTGACAAGTCTGCTTTTTAACACATTTTGTGCAGTTTTAACAAGCTTTTCTTTTGCAGGGGTTTATGTGCAACGAAAAACATTCATGCATTTATATGCATTTGTCAGCCTGTGAGTAATGATTTTCAGCTGAATGAATGTGTTGCCACATGGATACCTGAGCCAGACTTTTCCATAGTAAACTCTAAGGATCACATATCCCTCCAGCCTCTGTGGTATGCACTAACAGTCTGAGCTTCCAGAAGAGGGGTCCCAGGTGAAAATGTCCCAGGATAAAAAGAAATCCCCAAGCCTGCTGCTGTAGTGAGAGTCTGACACTGAAATAGCCAACAGTCTTTCTCAGAACCCGCTGACGGGTCAGTGGTAGTAATTTAAAAATTTCTTTCATAGTCTCAAATCTGACTGCCAGTCTTTTGCTTAGTTTGTTTCAGTCCTGCAATTACCAACCTCTTAAACTTTCCGCTGCTGTTTAAGCTCAGCGCGCACTTGTCAAACTTTGTTCATATATAGATATATAAAAGCTGTAATTTCGATTCGGCCATGTCACTCTGCGTTGAAAAGCAGTGGTGTGGATTTGCATCGTTAAAGATGTTTGTTTTTATGTGACAAAAATATGACGACTTTTGCTTTATGTGACTTAAAACAATGATATATGCGTCTTTTTCTTTCTCTGCTCAGGACTCCATGGATGAAGCATGTGCTGAGGGGATTGGCAATGAACACTATCGTTTAGAAGGTAGGTCTCTCCCAATCTTTTTCCTCTCTGTGGTGAAATTAGTTGGAGTACTGTTTCAGTTGAATGGAAAAAAAACCCCTATCCCAAAAACACTATTTGGAATTGAACTTCAGGTATTTGTGTGGCTCTTTGATCCAGTGCTTCATCCCTTCCTCCTCTGCTCCACACCCATTCTCTAAGCCCCAGCAATGTGCTGATGAAGTCCCTTTTACTTTCCCTCCTGCCTTTTCACCTCCTCCATCTCTCATCCGCCCCTCCCCAGCGGTGCACTGCAAAGTGCCTCCATTCCCCCATGTTTTTTCCCTGATGTGATGTGATCCTGGATTAAGAGCTCTGGGAGGAGAAAGTCTCTCCCTCCCATTTAAAGACACGATTGGACGTGAGGTGCAGGCAAAAATGTAGGGTCGAATGAGACCAAGCCAGAATCTGGAGGCATGTCAGAAAATTCCGTTTTACTTCAGTTTCACTTCAGTGGATAATAGCAGAGAGACAAGAGATAATGTGACTGATAAATGGAGTTTGAAATGATTTTTAGCAACTGGGCTAAACTGTGTATGGGCCAAGCCTGTCCTCCCTTCAAGACAGATGTTGCTAATTAGAGTATGCTGCTCTCTTCATTCACTTTGATTAATAGCCACAGTTCAAGACAGCTTAATAAAAGATTTCATAGTTTATGTGTCAATATCTACATAGTACTGACCTCTAAAAAATGTTGTTTTTGTTTGAGAAACAGAGTAGTTACAGATCTTGCTTAGATCTCAGGTTGGGCAAAGCTGATTATAGCTTGAATTGTTAAAATATTTCTATAGGCATTTGATATGTTCATGTTGTCTGTTTTCAGTCTTGAATAAATTGACCTTTTGTAAACATAAAAATGGACTACTAGGTCCCTAATAAGAGTAGCTGTGGAGGTTTTATAGCATTAACTCCATTTAGTTTGATCAGATCCAGTATCTATAGATTTCACAAAGATGAGTACAGATAAAATGGGAAGAGAGAGAGAAGAAATGACAGCACGAACAACAAAGAGAAAGGGCTTCTTTTGTCTTAAGGAAGTAAGTTAAAGAAAACATGCAGCAAAAATTGAGAAGAGGAAAAAAAGCTCAGTGATGAAATTAGCTTAAGGATTATTTACATCTGTACTGCTACGATTCAAGAAAACCTACCGTTGCAAACTTTTTTAATATACTCTTTAACCTTTTGTTGAAAAAGAGAAACAGTCCTTTCCATCATCACATCCTTTCACATCTGGCTCACGTGTTGGATACACAGCGATTACAGCTGGTCACAAAACTGCTGGAGGAAAGTTACCTTTCAATACAAAAAGCAAAACATCCAGGCCTTCCCAAAATCATGCTGGTTCTGCCTGTACATATAGGGGAGGGAGTGGGGGGCTGCTATGTGTAATAAAGTATTTTAGCTAAGCCGACTGAGTGTGATTGCTCATAGTGTGTGGCAGCTTTCCCAACCTGCCTGTGATGCTCTCTCCGTGTGTGTGTGTGTTTGCATAACGCGTATGCATGCACAAGTGTAGTGCAGTCACTGGAACGGCCTTGGCATGGAGGGTGCCAGACTCGACTGCCCTCATCTTGCCCCTCAGATCTGATGTGCAGCCAATCCCGTAGCAGCAGCTTCACTCATAAAGAGTGGGCTTATGTCTGTGATTGGGAGGGGGTCAGAGGGGGGGAGGAGGGTGATAACAGATTACTGTTACTCCTCCCGGCATTTTATTAGCCGTGAGATAAGCATCTCACCACCATATTGAGCCTGCTTCGGAACAGATTTGCCTTCGCACACAATGTTCCCTTTGAGCACCTCAGATGATCAAACAGCAGGACCCCAAATGCTGCTTCTCTCCAAAAAGTTGGTAAAAGCTCCCTGGGATGATGCCTTTCATTTCTGGCATTTTCCCCTACCCAGGGATGAGACAGGTCTGCTTTGATCTGCTTTGGATCAGGAGGAAAGAAATTGGGCTGTTGTGTCTGCTCTGTTGGCGAGCAAACAAACAGTGTTTCAGATTTGACTTGGCTTAATTAATTAGTGATTCTGTTTTACAGCCGGTCTGATCCTCTTCCAGAAGGTTTGAGAATGGAACTTCAAAGTGTGGTGGGAGGGGTTTGGGGAGGGTGGGGGTGAGGGGTGTGGCTTTATGGGTGGATACAGACTTTGTGGCTGTGATTGGGTGATGGGGATGGTGGAAGGGGAAACCTAAATGACCAGAGGTGAAACGTACTAGGGGCTACGGCTGAATACATCTGTGAGAATAAGGTAATGATGTGTCTGGGTAATTCATAGAGTTGTAAAGGTCCTGACTGGTACACCTCCTGCTTCTCAGTTACATACTGTTTGTGTCTGTGGCCTTGTGTTCTAAACAAATGCTTGATTTCAAAGCATAGAAGACAATTTTGGTTGCATTAGATCTGGGCTAACACGCAACACTGAAAGTTAGACTTTGAACTGAACAGCGACAGTTGAACCTTGTAATAGAGTAAAAAAACAACAACTCCTTCCTCAACTTTGACCTCATGTTTAAAGGCACTTCCACTTCACTCATTTCAAAGTCAAGGTTTATGAATTTATGTTTCTTTAGATGCCAAAACATACAAAGAGTGGTTAACACAACTCTTTGACCATTTAAATACTCCACCGGTGAATTTCAGAGCTTTTATTTATCCCAGAAAAGGCGCTTGCTAATACAAGGTTAAACGAAACTAAACACGTTGTTGGAGACATTTAACATCATCACACCAAATGAGATTAGAGATTAGTGGTGGTGGTGGTGCTGAAGTTGTCATGTTGTTTGTTCATAAGCTAATATTGCATTGTGACTTTTGGTAATTGCATATAATGTCACAACTGTCACAGCTGAATTAACTTGAGGAGAATATGTTTAAAATCATAAACAAATTTTCTCCAGTAAACCAAAAATCTTTGAAAAATCTCAATGGATTTTTTCCCCCAGGTAACCATGGCGATGCTTTCTTCCTGGTTGGCCTACAAAAACACATCATCCCTGAAGCACTCTATACAGACATTTGTGCCAACTGATTCATCAAAAGGCAGAGTCATGGAGCCAGTGCAGATGCATTCACATCAGTGGTAGATTTGCTTTCACACACAGTGTTCACTTTGAGCACCTCTGATCAAACAGCGGGACATAGCCTCACCTATGCTCACTGATTTGGGGTTGAAAGAACGCTTAGGTCTCGTGGTTTGTATTAGCACAACACTGTTACTTTGAACCCTGTCCAGGTGACTCTGTGTTCAGTAAAGAGGTGAATAACGATGTCATATTAATTGGTAAAATGTATGCGACACATTTTCCACAGACGGTCTAACTGTGAGCCTGGATGTTGATGTACGGTATATATCTTTCCAATAAAATGGTGAGCTCTGCTGCACTGAGCTGGGCTCGGGGGCCTCTTGGAGACCTTCAGCTCTGTCACTTCCACCATTTATATTCAAATGCTGGTTGCCATATTCTGTCATGTTTTAGGCATGTTATGCCATTCAGTTTCATGTTTAACATCCCCTCTCAGGGTGAACCCACTGAGATGATATGCAATATATTGTAGCTAACGGCTTAAAACTATTACTATGTGTGTGGATGATGGAAGAGCTTTTGCCACCAGAGAATTAGGGCTGTCACAGTTTCAACGTTTCATCTCCCATCCTTGATTTTATTGTTTTGATTCTGTAGTACTTCTGCTCAATGGAATGATGAAGTAATGGACTCTTTGCCTAACTTCATGCAGAAAAATACAAAAGTGTTTTTTCAGTTTCTGGTAGAGGCTCCTTTAAATGTCTTTTAAAAAACAAGAATCACATCCTTGTTTTTTTTTTTATCGCTGTAGGGACTTGACCCCACACTGTCATGGATCAGTTTGCTCTGATTGCTAACATGAAATGTTCCAAAAAGCATTTTTGAACTGTGAGAACCAAACTGTGCTTTGATTTTCTGCAGCCTTTGAGCATGATCAAAAACAGTGTAAATAAAACCTACAACTTCAGTGCACCTCAGCAGCCCAGTGGAAAAAAAAACCCCCAACCAAACAGAAAATCCAACCTAATTTGCAAGTTGTTCCTAAGCTCATCAAAGTGCTGTTCTGCTTGCAAAATATATAACTGGGATCAAATAAATAGAAATACAATTTAATGATAAAAAGTGTAAGGCAAAAACGGTTAAGAGTTTGGCTGTGTTTTTACATCCAGGAGCGCTGGAATGGATGACATGTCTTAATTGTGGCTGCCAAACTCGGAAGTCAGAGCTTACAAGGCGCACTTGATTGCAACGACATATCCTCAGGTTGTGGCTGCACCCAATGCTGCCATCCTCAGGCTCTCTCTTTTATCTTTGTGTGTGTCTGTGTGTGTGCCATTGCAGTGGCTTTACCCCCGGAGAAGACAGACAGCTGCTGTGTGGAGGAGAAGATGCAGGAGAGGGACAGCCAATCTCCCGCAGGGCCACAGAAACAGCTCCAGTTTGAAGTGAGTGTCAACACAAAACAGGACATTTATTACTTCCCCCTCTGGATGAAACTAGGGCAATAGCAGGACACACAAATACACACTCACACACTGTATGGTACTGATTCAATGCTGGGCTGTTTCAGGAGTTGGAGTGCGCTGTGTCTGTGGAGGAGGATAACAGGCAGGAGTGGACCTTCACCCTCTACGACTTTGACAACAGCGGCAAAGTTACGCGAGAGGTAATCGCCTGCTTCAGTGGAAAAGCCTTTAATTGCCTAATGAATAAATAAAAGAAGACGTGATAATAAGACAGTGAATACATCCAAATAACTGCCAAAAACATGCACTAAATTTAAATTGAAATCCTTGAAACGTGAAATCTGTATTTGTTTATTCTCCTGCATGTTTCACACATTAAAGAGATTTGCACAGAAAAAGCCTGGCCGGCAGTTTGCTTATCCTGAATCATGTCCCACCTTAGGTTGGAATAAAAATCAATAACTTCCCTGTTCACTTCTTTTTGGTATCGCCACACCCGAAAGGGAAGCATGGATAGAAAAAGCCTGTAACCCAGTCTTACTTGTAAGAACTGAATCCAGCAAAGGTATGTGTTTCCGCTCCTGTGAGGCACCTTGTGGCTTGCGTCTGCCTGGTACAGATCTGAGAGAACATCGAGAAAGGCCCGTGTTTTTTGAGAACAACTTGAAACAGCGCAAAGAGACTGGAGCTGTCCTCTGTGTGGTTGGCTGTGCAGCTTTTTTGGCATTGCCTGTGGCTCCACGGCTCATGAGACAGCGGCTTGGAGGGGGGAAAGAAAAGCTTTCTTCTCCAGCTCTCTCTCTCTCTCTCTCTTTTTTTGTAATCCATTCACACAAATAAAAAGAAAAGGAAACCCAAAAATGACACGGGAAGCTTTTATTTTATTTTAATTGAAATTTTTTACATTTTGTCTGTGTCTGAAACCAGTATGTGGAACTGATCCCTGTAGAATTTATAATAGTCCTTTTTATGAGTCATAGTGGTATAGTGAGTAAAAATCATGCTTTTGCAGTCTTGTGTGGTTCGGTCTTGATTCTTAGCAGTTATAGTGAAACCCTCTTACTTCCTAAAGACATCTGAGATGCAGCACATGATACGAGTCTGGACTTTTTACTTCTGTACCCAGGAAAGAATCCATCATAGTTCCCGATACTTAAGCGGGAGTCATTAGTTCAGTGCAAAATATACCGATTAACGAGCCACAAGAGCTAGCACTATGTTACAATGTGTGGTCACTCAGCTTACTGCTATGTGAACATTTTTCATTTTAGAGTATTGACAACAAAAGTTATTCGTTTGTATAAACAGTTTTAGCTTTTCCCCTTTTCAGCATAGTATTTATCTGATCCTTGTTTGTATGTGTTACTATGCCTAGATGTTGCCGCTACTGTAGATGTATCTTCAACAAATTTAACAAATATAGAAAGTGCAGCGCTCACAGCTTAATACAACTCATATCAGGCCTGACAGGCTTCCGTGCCACTGACAAGACATTTGTTTTTATGAATTTATAACTTGTCTTTATACCCAACTTGATCGCTTCACTTGGAAAGCAGAAGCAACTGATGTCAGTTTCTCTGTTCACTGTTGTCTAAGACACTTCTGTAAATTCTTCGCTAGCATGATATTTATTATGCATGGTCTAAATGCTTAAAGCTTAAGATTCTTGGATTCAGAGTGTCGGCATAAGAATACTCTCCCATGTTCCATTTCTCTTGAAAATCTGTATTTGTACCAGTGTGACTAAGAATCTGCAAGATTGAAGATTTAATTAATGAAAGATTAAAAAAACGCTCTCCAATTTAACAAATTCTCATCTTCTGTTTTCTGCAGGATATCACCAGCCTGCTGCACACCATCTACGAGGTTGTCGACGCTTCAGTCAACCATTCTCCTGGCAGCAGCAAGACATTACGTGTCAAGCTCTCTGTGGCTCCTGACTCCAGCCAGCGGTGGAGGAGCTGCACGCAGGGTGCCACAGGTAAAGCTCGCATTAACGCAGTGGGTGGGAGCAGCGGAGAAGAGAGGGCATTTCGGGGTCCCCCTTGTGTTGCATGCTGTCAGCTCATCCAGACATGTGTTTGTTGTCATGCAGAAAGGCGGCTTCTTCAGGCCTGTCAGCGCTTTGTTCCTTGCAGTTTCGGCGTCGCTCCATCTCTCCCACTCAATGGGGTTCATTTTTAATGATGGGGGGAGTGACAGAGCCAAGAGAGAGCCCCCTCCCTCAGCGCCTTCAAATACTCTGAAAGAAACCTTAAGAGATGTGCTGAGTCCTTTTGATAACCACAGCCATTTTTCTTTTCTCCAAAGTTCCCTTTTTTCCCCCCTGCTCCCCCTCTCTTCGTCCCCCCTTCTCAGAGCTGCTGGGAAAATATAGCTGCGTTCAACTTAACTTTTCTCACTGACGACTTGGTAAACAAGTCGTCAGGGAGAAATATCTCAAAAAGTATATATTCCTGTGTGTTTGCGTCCTATTGTTTCGGCTATAAATATCTGTCAAGAGATTGAGGCAGAGCATGCTTTGAAAAGATTGCTGGTTGACTTCATGCTAATTTCAAACCGCATCAGATCTCACGTCCTTAATAAACTATTTCTGAAGTCTGCATGTTTTTTTTTTATTCCACGCCTTATAAAAGACTGGGAGTTGAAAATAGAATAAATGAAGCACTGTTGTTTTTCCTTTTCTATAGATCTTCAAAGTAAAACCCCAAAACAAAGGTTGCTTTCTTCTGAGGCTTGTGTGACTGTTGTCGTTCGTGCTTGGGTGTGTGTGTGTGTGGCAGCTCTGTGTTGCTCTCTTTGATAATAGCCTCCTGTCTTTCACACATACTCAGACTTACCCCACCCAAGAGAGAAAAATGACAAGTGCATTGAAGACCCCAAGAGTGCAGAGAAGAAGTCTCGAGCACTCCTAAGGTAAACCCATCTCTCTTGCACGTGTCTCAGTGTCTGCTGGTTGTAGTGTATACAGTTGTATATGAATAAGCAGCATGTTAAGGCTTGTGCCACTGATTTTTCAATCTAAAAGTAGAAACATTCCTACAAAACACGTCTAGGGGCAAAGTTTGTTTTAGGAGGACTTCTTACATGGCTTCTGTAATATTCCTTTACTCTCTAATTAGCTGTGCCCAGTGCATTGCAATGAGGAAGAATAAACAGCAGAGACACTTCACTCTCTGTGCTGTTCAAGTACTCCCAGTTGACATTCAAACCAGTGATTTTCCTATCACAATCTCACTTCTCTAACAATTACCGTGCCACAGGCTGATCATAAGGAACACTTGTTTTACTTTCTCCAAACATTACCATAGTGAACCTCAGTGGCCCAAACTGCTACCTAATGAGCGGTGCCGCTTGTGTCCACAGGCGCCACCACAGTGACCACCACACCCAGCCTGGCTGCCAGCGCCACTGTGTGGATGAGAACCTGGAACGCAGGAACCACTACTTGGACCTGGCAGGCATCGAAAACTACACGTCCCGCTTCGGAGCCGGTGAGTGGACAGGGGCCAGTGGAAGGGGAGGGGAGGGAGAAATGCAGACGGTGGCCCTTTGAAGCTGCATCCAGGGGCCCTCATTACTGTGGCACCTGCTTGGAGCCATTAGATGGAACTAGCAGCCCACTGCGCTCCTCGCCAGTACAAACATCTGGGCTCAGGCAAGCACAATACATCAAGTGTTCAAGGCTAGAGCCCATCAACAGAGTGGGCTGTTGTTAAGTGAAGTATTAGGTGTAATGAGCAACAGCCTTGATCTGATGGTTAGTGATGACATGTGATTATTTTAATGTTAGCTCTGTCAGGAAAGTGCTAACAGAGATCTGCTCTCTGTCAAGTTGTTTCAGGGTTATCTGCACGGAGAAAGAACCTGACACGTGGCTGCCAGAATCCTACCGTCAAACCTTAAGACAAAATTTATTAGAAAGCTGGTCACACAGCATTTTTTACACTGTGGTTCACTTTACTTTTATCAAATTCTTCTTTTGCCATTTGCTATTGTTAAGATAGCAGAGTTGGAATAGATGGGAAATTTGGGTAAAGAGGGCAGGGGAATGAGATGCCACAGACTGGGAGGTTATACCATTCTCTGCCACACAATATGCTTTCTAACCACTCTGTCATTGAGTTGCTCCATTTTCTCTGATTTTATTACTGAATTTAAAGGGCCCACTTCACTTTGAATGTCAGTTCTGTGACCCCATCATAGTTTGTAGTTGTTTGCAGTTGTTTAAAATAAACATTTTTGTCTCTCCTTCACAGCCCCTGCTGCAGAGATGACTAAAGCAGAGCCTCAGGCCAGGTCATCTAACCAGACTCGTTCTCGCTCCCATGAACCAGAAAATGGTCACTCCCATCCCCATCACCGCCGCTTACAGACTGTTGTGGACACCGTTGCTCCAGACAACCTCCACTCTGCCCGGCTGCGAGGCCAAGACTCAGGGAAACATGCCCTCCGTTCTCCAAAGACACACAGCCGTACACCTCCTGCGCAGATCAATGGCAGAGTGATGAGGAGCCGAGGTATTCCCCCTCCTCCAGCTCTACCCAGTCAGACTCCTCCTCATCAGTCTACAGCTCCGTACCGCAAACACAAGCAACGATCCAAAGAGAGCCAGGGCTACCGAGCCTTAGGCCCTCTACCAGCACCTGGGCCAGTGGTGGAGAAGGAGCAGGTGAGGGACCTACCTAGCGTGCTGCTCTATGAGGGGGGTCTGGCGCAAGTTGTGCAGCGGCATGAGCATCACCATCACCACGAACACCATCACCACTACCACCATTTTTACCAGTCCTGAATTTCCATCCTGCCTGGAACAGCTCAGCACTCCTGTAAGGCCACAAAACCCATCCCGGTCAGCAGACACAGAGTGCAGGCTGCTCCCTCCTAAAACTCTGGGCAGTTACCCATGTAGTGGCATGCTGATAGACATTGAGGTGGAGAGGAGGATCATGGGACGGGTGCACATACTGACATGTTGTTAATCAGTATTATTAAAGAGGTTGCCAAACATAGAGAAGGTTGGGTATGCAGCAGGAGGCCACAGTACAGTAATATAAGACTAAGGAGCTTGAGGGTGGGGGGTTGAGAGGAAGCAAAGAGGAGCTGCTCACTTGTTCCTCTCGCCCTGGTTCTCTGATCCTCTACTGGATGAACTGTACAACTCCAAACCAGCACCACAATCCTTCCAGACCACTAAGCCAAAAGGTTTTCAAGGAAAAGAGGGACAAGAGGAAGAGAGACATTAAGATGAAAACATATGAAGGAATTTAAGTGATTGCAGAGCAGGGTGCAGTGTGTGTGTGTGTGTGAGAGCGAAATTTTGTGTGAATGCATGGGTAAACAAGGGTCTGCGTGTGCGTGTGTCTGAGTGTCACAACACCGCTGTCTGCTGAAAACCACTTGAAGTGCACTCGTTTGTGTGTGAGTATTTAATGTAGGCTGTAGAGATGATTATGAAGATTCTGATTTAAGCATACAACGCCCCGTCAGCAAAAATGGGAAGGAAAATGTTGAAATGTTCTAAAGTGAAAAAGAAGAGCGATCCTAAATCCGCTGCTACCTCCAATTTTATCCTAATTGTTGTTGTAAAGGTGACTTTGACTAAGTATTCAGAGGTTATTTTCAATGTACTTAAACATTTTTGTCACAATCTGCAGTACTGAAATGTTGAATAGCTCCTTACATTTATTAACTAACATTTGCTGTACATAAAGTAAATATTGTTGTCAATTTTATAAGCTTTATTGATAATGTGATATCTTTGTATTCACTATCTGAAGCTCTGTGTTTTCCTTCACAACTGCATTTTTATTAAGACCACTAGCAGCCTCATTTTTTCTATCAAACTCTGTTAGTGATCCAGTGTCACACACTCCTTCACACTGACTTTCAACTCTCACCCAAATGTAACCTGTAATTATGGCAAGTGACTAAAATCCTAACCCTCAACAGTGCTGTTCAGAAGCTCCAACTCATGACACAAGCAAAACTGAGTTGCCAGTGTTTTTAAAATGTTATGTTATGTTATTTTATGTTATGTCCTGTGATTTTTTTCAGACAGCAGTTAGCTTTTAGAATATATCTGGTGTAAAGATCTTGATGCGCTCCAAGAAGCTCTTTCTTTATTTAAATATTTAAAATGTTAGAGATAAATCACATAGCTTTAGTGGCATGTTTGCATAAATTGAAACCTTGTTACCAGCACAAGGTGGGTGTGTTCATTCATCACTGTGCAGTGTGGCCTTTAACAAGGCTTATTTACAGTTTATTATTTATGCAGCAAAAATGCTTTGCTGAGCATGCATGCAATATTTCCGAAGTGTTGTGTTTCGGCTATTAGCAGAGACACATATTCACACTCCCAGAATTTGTCCACAGTTTTGCGCACTCTGGTTTTCTGTTTCCAAGTCTAGTTCTTTCCCCAATTGGTAGCAGCTTTGTCATCCTTGCCCAGGGTCACACGGCTTCTCCCTCTGTTTCCATGGCATCTTCCTGTCCCTCAGCTGTCAGCAGGTCTTTCACCGTGCCGCCATGTGGCCTCAGCGCTCAGCCAACAAGGCTCTGTTTGTGGTGCTCTTTCAGCTGTCTCATTCCTCTGGTGCTGGATGACATGGGGCCCTGCAGTCTCCACTGCAGCCATAATTCACCGCTCACTGCTGCTGTCCTGCCAGCACCGGGACTGTCTATTCATATTGTCCCCTGATGCTCGAGGGGACTAGCATCACCATACCTGTGCCATCTCAGCTCTGACAGAAGCAGTAACCTACTAGCTGCTGGTATGAGAGTGCTGATTTCCTTAATTCTAGGCAAGCACTTTTCAGTGTCACACTGAAAAGAACTTGCCCCTGTGCAGCTGTAGTTTTCTGTGTTTAAGTGCCTTGTGCAATGGAAATCTACATTCAGAGGAAGGGCGTTTTCACCATATGGCTTTTGCAAATCAGGCCCCAGGGCTCATAATTGTCCACAATGCATCCACTTGAAGTACATTGAAAGGATTGTTTTTGATTGTCTTAGTTTGTCGTAAGGGTGTGTGTGTGTGATTGTAATACACAGGAATGCAGCGTATGCCAGTCTTGCCCTTAGCCCTGTGGTGTTGTCTCACAGCTGTAGCCTGTTTTCAGCAGAAGCACCGGTCAGACGGGCCATCTCGTGGGACCTGGTGGCAATGACGGCCTCATTTTCAGGCTGGGGTCACAGCTGTGCTCCATGCCTTAGCTTTCTCACCTCTTACTGTTTTTCCTAGATAAAAAGTCATTTCTACTGGAGCCCTCTCAGCGCTGTAGGTTTGTAGATACTAGTTTCCAAATACGAGTGTGAAAATGGTTCTCCTGTGGTAATGGACAGTGAGCAGGCGACTGTAGGGTGGTCTCATTTGTCATGGTGGACGAGAGCTTCTGAAGGAATTTGAGTGACTCAGACCAAAAGCCAGGTTGGAATTTTTAAAATTTCTTTTAACCCTGAAAGTGTTTGACTGAACACACAGAGCTCTCTCTTCATTTGAATTTTTTTAATGCCCTGCTTCACATTCATAGACTAACCTTCACTAAAAACCTCAAATGTTCTTGATAGCGTGTGCCTCAACAGCATTTGTTAAGGGTTGGGAAAGCAGTTGCGTTTCTGGTTTGTCGAGCAGACTTTCTTTGAGGGAGCGTACCTCAACCTCTAAGAAAACCTTGTGTTCTTACAACCTCCCTCTCTAACCAGCACTGTTGCTATCCCTATTGTTTCTTTTATCACACCAAGGTAACGGAGTTATATTTTGTGAGGAAGAAAACTCAGATTTTTTGTTGTTGTTTCGTTTCTTAGCAGCCAAGTCCTCAGCTGTCCCTCAAAATCTAACAAAATGTATTTTTTATTACTCTTTTTGGCAGATTGTTATGTGGGCATGAGTGTAACATGAATTTCAATGTATGAATGCCGCTTTTCAAACATAACATTTTAATCTGTGTCACACAAACTGCTTTTGATGCACCTACTTTGGTCCTGTTGAACTGTCAGTATTCTGAGTCACAGTAGTATCTAATGCACCAGTAATTTGCTTTATAAGATTTATGTATCATCACTGTTTTTAACCTGATGTATATATTGGACTGCAGAAAGGTTAAACCAGCATCATATATAAAGATAGGGTTTTTTATAGTTAAATTACTGTCAAGGTTTTTCATTTTCCTGCTGTCCCATAGTATCCACAGTGACCGTCCCACTTATCTGGAAGGAAATCTGTCTGTTCACCCACAGAGATATACACTTTCACTTGCTGTTTGCTGTAAACCTGTTTAGCTCTAGCTGTCTTTTCGCATCTTCCATGGTCATCTAATGTTTTTTTTCTATTTCCATGACATTTAGTTTATATTAGATTGTATTTGATTAATTGCTTTATTTATTTGATAGCAGATCTGTGCCAAGGGAAAATACCCTTTTATTAAAGTATGAACCTGTTCCTATTAAACTGCATGACTTCTGGAGTTACTTAAGAATATTTTCTGTTTAATGTTTTTAAAATTATGCACAGGACATACAATATCAGAGATCAATATGGAAAGCTGTGTCAATTTCCTCTTTTTTTGACTACATGTCAGATTCTTTTGAAACTATAGCAATGTCTTCATTAAGTAGTCATTAAGCACTCATAAAAACTTTACACTTTGTCTTATGTACACTTTGTGCATTGAAATATAAGAAACCAGTTGGGATGTATAGATATGTTATCATGGGGTTTTTTTGTTCTTTTTTCAGTGTATATAGATTGCTACTACTCTTCCTCCTCCATAGTGATGCACAATTTCTGTAGACTGTAAGAACTGTAGACTGTATCAATATCCCTATAGATACAATCTACATGACTGTGTACCTCCTAGGGGAAATTACTGGACCTCAAGGTAACTGCATGTCAAAGTATCTATTGTCAGAATACTAAACCCTGAGTTACCCCCAGTATATCCATCAAAGTGTGTCTGAAGTAGTGTGGATGCTAGATTTAAAAAAAGAGCTTGTATGAGAGTGTGTGCGTGTAATTGGGTGAATGAGGGTTGGACTAATAGTGTGTTGAATGGTCAATCAGAATGAAAAAGCACAATATAATCACCAGCCCTTCATCCATGTTCAGAAAAGGTAAAATGTATATATTACCAAGGCGCCATAATGAGCATGTACAAAAACAAAATAGTCGAATGATTTAATGTTACTCTAATTTTAGGTTCTACAGTTTCCTTGCTTACAGTGAGAACCCACACAAACACAGGGATAACCTGAAACTCCACGCAAAAAGGCCACAGCCAGAGCTGAACTCAGGGTCTTCTGTGGTGTGGTGGTTAGCACAACCACACCACCATGCAGCCCTGTTGAATTCAGAATTGAATTTTAAATCCCTCTGCTCACATTCAAAGTCTCGAATAATCAGGCCCCATCACATCTTAAAGTGCTCAGTTCCATATTGTCTCAATAGACTGCTTCTAATTAATTAAATATCTCGTGTAATTTGCTCTTCTTTTTGGTGGATTGACTTTTTTTTATTTTCCAAGAATTAAACTGGACTGATGAAAAAGGGTGTGGGTGAAATGTATACAGTAAATCCTCCACTCCACTGTATCTTAACTGGTGGTGTCACAGAGGGCTCCCAAATCAGGCTGACCACAGACAGCTGCTCACCATGCCACACTCTCGACATGTACATGCACTTTCATCTGAAGCTTAGCAGCTTATCTCTGGTTGTGGCAACTGCAGAGAGTCTGCCTCTTGGCAATGTGATATGGCTTCCTCTCACGAACATGGCTATTTGTGTGAGCGAGCCAGTGTAACCCGCAGAACTTGTATGTATCATCATTACAAATGGTTTCTATCCTAAAACAGCTTACCAGGTTACTGTTACTACTGCTTTAAAGATTGGCTATTAAAAGCATCAGACATCCAATAAGAGGTAAGTAGTAAGTGGTTACAGTTGTTACAGCGTGATCACTTAAATGGAAAGCATGAGCTATGTCTAGCTTTAACTACATAAAACATACCACAGAAATACTTTTTGTTTTTCGATGGAAACACATATATATTTAGTATTATGAAGCTAATTTTTGGCTAATGTTTAACATGTTTCCTGCATAAGGTTAAGGAGGAAAAACATACATAGGAAGATATACATAACAGTATTTGTTTGAACTCACATGTTTGTAGCCATCAACAGATCACACGAAAAGTTTTAACCTTCCAAGTATTAAGATTTTGAGAAATCTCCACATGGTCATCCATTTATATCAGATGCACTTTTAGTCTTACAGGCTTACTTGTACTTATCCTAGTGATTTTTAAATTTCAAAGATGGAAAGGAAAGTATAGTCCTGGCCTGAGGTGTATCATTAGGTGCATACAAACTAAAGACACTCTCTCGAACTCAAAGCGGTCATCCTCTGAAAGCAATTCTGAAGTATAATAAAGAGCATAATAGTTCCTGCAGAGCTGTAGTTTGTTAGCCACAAGCTTTTAATTACATTGTATACAGATAAAAAATTCTGAAGTGATTTAAAGATTACGCAAGTGAGCATCACGGACAGCATTGCTCATCATAAACAGAAATCTTTTGTAAGATCCTGGCAAAGCTAATAAATGCCATAATTGCCCTGTGTAAAGCTGTATTGTCCATAACTAATGAAAACCAAGAGAGCAGAGCAATCAGTAAAAGAAACACCAGCTGACTATTTTTGACTGGAGCTTTCAGGCCCTTTATTAAAATTCGCAAACCACCAACTGCAATTTATTCTAAACATGTGAATTTCATAGATGGATGTTTTGTTACATGAACCCTGAAATTCTTTTCTCAAAAGAAGAGAAAGAAGTGTTCAAAAACTTACAGTCCATACATCTACATTGCGAGTCTCAGATGCCATATAGCTGAAAGTGCCATTTCTTACTGTATCCTACTGCATCATCTTTTCTCTGTAGCCTGGCATGAGGCTGCTTCTTCTTTTTTTCTGACATTTTCTTCTTCTTCTTCTTTTTTTTTTTTACTGACTTTGATCTCCACTCCTTTCAACTCTTCACATATGTTGGTAATAGCCTTGGTGTTCATGGAGATTTTCTCCTCCAGTGCAGAGTAACGGTTGGATAATGCATTCACGCCTTTTGAAATGACGGCACTGGAGACAGTGCCTTCTTCCCATCTGTAAGCCTGTCTCTGCTGCTCAATCTCTTTGGTTCAGGACACTTCATAAGTGTGGCAGGTAAAAGTGTTAAGGATGTAGAACATGCTTTGCAAGTTCCAAATTTGGAGGTCTTAAGAAAGGTGATCTACTACTGACTGTTCATTTCAACTTTGTTAACCTCTACAGATCTGAACATCCACGATTTTTTTGTCATTTCATAAAGAACTTTAACTGAAATGATCTCTGTGTATAAGCCTTATAAGCCTATAACTTGAAGTTGTACCATTTCTCAGCTCTTGGAGTTATAGTCAACAAGCAGATCTAGATATGGTTTTCCACATGCAATGACTTCCCCTTTTTATTACGCTCTCATTGTTCTTCTTCTACTGATTTATCATCCAGCCAAGCAAAATAAATATGTGGTCTTACATTTGCCACCTTTGTTCTTTTGCAGTTCTTTTTCTTTTTCTTTCTTTCTTTCTTTCTTTATAAGCTCGTTAGTACAGATGGACATTGTTTGTTTTTTTTTCATTTTACAATGCTGCCCACTGTGCTTTTTATGAAACTCTTGCCTCTTCTGTTGAGCGCAATAATTGCCCTGCAGTTAAAAAAAGGCTTTGGATTCACTCACATGGGCTGGGGACTACTATCATGTGACTTCCAAAAAAGCCAAACTTGAAACAGATATCATTATATCATTATTCTTAGCTTAGCTGATATGGGCTTTGTGTCATATGACAATTGGAAATATAAGATTTTTTCCATTGTGAGACGCAATCCAGATGTCTAGTTTTCCAACATTTTTTTTTTAAACAACTAGCAACTTGTTATTGTCTGCAAGCAGACATAGCAAGAATTATTCAAGGTGTCAGGAGATATCAGTATTGATTTCCATTACTACTAATTGGCAAGTTGTAATAGACTTTAATTGTCCTTTTTGAGGATGATGATGAGTTACTGCTGAGCTTATGTGGTTCTTTAAAAACTGTTGGGCAAATTAAGATAAATTGCAATAAATAGGAAGGTCTACCGACCAGATTCATTACATTTTCATCCACCTGAAAAGTGTTTTTGTGTGCTGTTAAACCATAATGTTATAATTCAGTTGTTATTACTATTATTGTTTATAGCAATAGTAGTAGCATTTTATTAATTGCTAGAGTTGCAATCAGGTCTTCTCTGTCCTTGAATGCTATATGCTGTGCAAACTCGAGTGCCGATATGAGTTTAAAGTCTAGTTAATAAAAATAGTCAATATAAATACGTGCAAATGATCTAGAGGTACTGATGGATGGAAGGTCAACTTCTGGCTTACACCATAGATAGAAAGTCTGAGCATATGGCACAGAGTCAGTTATACATAAACTCTACTTCTTTTTTTTCTTTTTTTGGCCTGTCCCGTTTGGTTCTTTTGCCATCAGAATTATTGTCTAAAGGCCAAGAAAGATGTCCAATGGATTTACTTTACCAAATGGACCATCCCTTGCCGTATTGGTCCATTTGATTGACCTTTGTTTTTATTATTTATTTTATTTTATTTTCACTTGCTACACACGGGACAGACATGACTGGGGGAAAGAAAAGGGAGAAAGAAAGAGAGGTAGGGAAAGAAAAACAGCGGGGAAGAGGAACGGTGATAAAGGGCAAAAAACAAAAACAAACAAAAACAAACAAACAAACAAAAAATACATATATCAATCACCTGGATCACCTGTTGAGAAAGAAAAAAGAGAATACAAGCAAAAAAAGAGAGCAATATATTGAACAACATCATCGCGATAATCTATGTGAATATAACAGTAAATACTAAATGTTGAATATTATTGTGCAGCATGTAAGATCGACAGCGCAGTGTGCTTTGAGGTAGGAGCCAAAAAGGGTGTAGTTTGTGTGTGTGAGCACTCGTGTGTACACCTGTGAGCATGAGCGCGCTTGTATTCAAAAGGTTCCTTCATGTAATGATCTGCTAGAGGGTGTGGGGGGCCACAGCCTCGTCCTCCAGGACATGAAGCAGGTATGGAGGAGATCCAGGCTCCAGACATCCAGAGGCCCTCAGAGCACAGGAGACCAAGGAAGACCAACAGAGGGACAACCGTGCCACTCTCCCGGAAAGAGCTGAGGAGAGCCCCAGATGAGGGGTCACTCAGCAGCCGCGGAGCAGAAGCCGGCAGCCAGCTGTGCCAGAGTGACCGAGCCCCAGGCCCAGAGGCCGAGGGCACCCCACCCCCCGAAGGGACCCGAGCGAGCCCCAGGCTCCAGGCCTCGACAAGCAGCCACCAGGAGTGAGCCGGTGTGTACCTGGACGCCCATCCCCGGA